TGCACACAAATGTCATACATGTTGGCCTAACTCACATGTTACAACTAGCATAAATATAAGGAAAATATGAAATCTGAAACATCACCAAAATGTAAATGGATGACTCATTTGGTGGCATCAGACCAGGCAAAAAGCTGCACCCATAACTTGTTAACTATACATAGCAACAGCTATAGTCACAACTGTACTCTCACAAGGCAATCTTTAAAGAAAAGCACAGAGACACATGTAGTATCAAATTATGAACAGCTTATGTTAATTTTTAATTTGATTCTTTAGAGATGATATTTTACCTGACCATGTCATAAATCTTGTTTTAAACTGATAAAATTAACCCACCAAATTAATTAATATTATGGTGATAATGACTGTTAATAAGAATCCTGACTTTCCACAGTTGTTTCAACTTCATTTCCAAAACTAAAATACCTCTTATCATTTCTCTTTTTGTAAGAGTCACATGCTTACTATGGCACACTTTGACCATGCTGTAACATGAATTTTGAGAAAAATCTACAAATCATGCTACCCCTTCAAATATGTCTGATGACATTTTGATGAGTATACTTCAAGGCAGAGCTCTAGGCATACATTTTAGTTTCTTCTGTTTGCCTCTCTAAATCAACTTTCCACCATTTTTCCACTCTGCTCTCTAGCCCAGGAGGATGACACAAATGGATTCTATCAGAGGATTCCTTTGCTATCTGTTTTTACCTTGATGTAGTCTAATGAGGAGGACAGAATGAGATGACAGTGTAAGCAAGGTATCTACTACCATCATTGTAAGGATGTTTGTGACTTTATGAACCCTAGATGGAAGGTCCACCTTTTGTCACCCTGATAAAATGACTCAGTCAGTCCTCCTCTACTTCCAGCTTGGGTGACAAGAAAATTTATTTATTACTAACACTGAGGTACTGAGAAGGTTCTACACCTTGCACAAACATTGATAAATAGTCTACCTATCAAATTTTCACATTTGCATATATCATCTGCTTTCAGAGAGAAAGAGAGAGCTAGGAAGAAAGAAGAAGAAGGAAGGAGAAAAAGAAAAAGGAGGAGAAGTAGAGAGAGGAGAACGAAGAGAATGATTGATTCTCTGTGGAAAAAAATGAAGGATTCAGATAAATTTCAAGAAGTTAAATACTGTAGTAACACATTAATATTAGTGTATTTATTTTAAATTATCTTGTTTTCAGGATACTATAAACAAGGGTTGGTAACCAGATAATCCATCTTTATAATTTTTTCTTTCTTTCTCCTGTCTCCTGTTATCTTTTATAATTCAGAAGAATGGAAACAACAACATTCAAAAATTTCATTTTAGTCATTTGTATAAAAGCAGAGGTTTTTTTTTTTCATGTGCAATTGCTCCTATATTTCCTATCATCTTACTGTACATATATTTTTCATTGTACGATAGGACCAAAGACATGGTTTTTAGATGACATTTCCTCACATTTTCTCTGTGACAATCTCATTTTGGATTTCTGTCATTTAGTTTGGTCTGCCATAACAAAATACAAAGAATTATTATGTGCCAATCACAAGACTGAGAAATTTGCAAACAAGTAGATATTTCTTGAGACTTCTTTAGTTGTATTAGCACATGATTACTTTCTACAAATGCACGCGTGTGTATCCTTAAAAAAAACTTCTTTCAAACTGCAAGTGCATGGTTAAAAAAAAAAAAAAAAAAAAAAAAAACTTCTTGTCTCTATTTTAGGAATCAAGATTTTATACATGCCTCCATGCCTTTTTCTCCTTTAAAGAATACAAGACAAAGTTTATGCAACTCATTAATTAATCAGGGAACTAGTAAGATGTTAGAACCAATTCAAAGAACATTGAGAAGCTAGGAGTATAAAGAAATGTTAGGATTGCAGGGTTAACTATGAAACTGATTAATGTCTTAGCAATAAATCATAATATATGGGTTATCTGATCCAGCAGACAGAATTTATTTGCCTCTCTCCCAGGCAAAAATGCATACATTAATCTCTGCCCCTACATAATTGTAAAGCAGCCCAACCAACAGAAAGTCAGGCTTAGAACAGCACTGAAAGAACACCCAATAATCTGTTTACCAATATCTGAATCAGGCAATTTTTCTGAAAGAGGTGAGATATTGTTAATATTGTATTGGGTACATTTATGCTAAAAAAAAATTCATTTATCTGAAATTCACATTTAACTTGGCATGCTATATTTATCTCTTAACCTTAATAACAATTAAAAATTTACAAAGTGTGTACAGTTCTGTTGCCAAAATATTGTATCTCTTAAACCTCTTGTATCTCTTAAATCTCTTAAACCCAGTTCCATATCCTTGCATAGATAATAAATATTAAGTGGTTTTCTACTGTGCTATTCTTTATACACACACACACACACATATTCATACTAAATCATACTTGGAGATTAATGAATTTCTAAACATTTAGAAAATTTTAACAATATTTATTAATAAGCTTTATCTTTTGTTATTACTGTTAAGTTTTTCTAAATTTTTGATCACAGAAATTATTTATACAGGTACAATTATTCCCTGCTGGCATCTTTTTCAGTGTTTGCATTGTACATTTTATAGGTGTTTAGTATACATCTAGCATACACGTCATGCTAGGAAAATGTTGTCTCCTCCTAAGTAATGAAAACTTAAAATACATATTGATTTCTGTTTGAAGAATACTGTACTGCTTTATATTAATACTGATATGTCAGTTTTCCTTTGGCTGATATTTTCTGGTCTTTTTCTTACCCTTTAGAGGTTATAATTTCTGTAGCATTATATATAGGTTTGAAACTCGTAAAGAGAAAAGAGTCTAATAACTTTTGTCTTCAACAGCTGAAATTAAAACAAGGGGGCAATAATCAAAAGAGATAAAAATGTTTTAATTTTTTAGAGCCTTTATTTAGAAGGTCACCTGGGCCTAGAATTTTTGTTTGTTTTTTGAGGAAAGTTTTAATTATAGACTCAATTATTCCAATAGATAAGTAGTTATTTAGATTTTCTTTTCTATTCATTTGATACATTTTATTACTTACAAAATTTTATCCACATTTATTTCCATGAATTATTTGAGAATATGCTTTGTTTTATGTTTAATATGTATAAAATCTATGGAGATTATGACTATTTTTCAAGTACTGTTTCGATCATTTGTTTTCTCAATTTTTTGAAATAAGATACCAGTTTTACTAGGTTGTTATAAAATTTACATATATTCAAAGAATCAATTTAGGCTTAGAAGATTTTCTTCATTATACATAGGCTTTGTTTTTCATCAGTAGCCAATTTTTTTATTATTATTTCCTACTTTCTAGAATCTTTTAGCTTAACTCACCATCTATATAGGCTTTTTGGAAATGGAGTTAAGTCATCTACATTCAAACTAACTTCATTTTTATTTTTGTATTATATTAAAGCTACAAATGTATCTCTCAGTTCTGTCTTTTGGCATCTCATAAATATGCTGTATTTTTAATGTTATTTAGTTCCAAAAAAAGTTATAATTTCTCATCTTTTTTTTTTTTTTTTTTTTTTTTTTTTT